GAAAAAGCCCGTTGGCCCGGCCCATTTAGCCCGGGACCATGTGGGCTTAGGACCGTCGTGGGCCGGTTCCATCCATTGGGACCGTGAAGCCCGGGACCGCCAAAGACCGGCCCGCCTAAGCCCGGGCCCGTTTGGCCCGTTAGGCCGGGCCCGTTTGGCCCGTTTAGGCCCGGGCCCAGCCCAGAATACAGCCTTAACTGTACCTCTGAATAAATCGGCACCCATTTATCCTCCAGAGGAGTAGATGCAGATGTTTCGAATCGAAGATCTTTGCAAGATAGCCCCGCGCATCATAGCATGTCAGGAATAAAGGGACTTTAATGTAATCACTCTTTTGGTTGGGGCCTATGACACCTTTATCCTTTCAATTTTTTGATTCACGTGTCTTTTTATTATCACCGTTGAAATATTTTTAAAATGACTTTATCAGTTTGATTAGTTGCTCTATCGACCCAAAGTGAATATTAGGGGAAGGGCAAAGCCTTTACCATGCAGTAGGCAGAAGTTCATTGTTGAACAAGTTCAAACTTGACTGAAGTAAATAAATTAGTTTTGCAACCGGTGGCCAAGAAAAAAATCGGCCAGTGACATCTGTTGCAAAATTAAACTTCCCCATTAGAATTTTTCATTTATTCTGCTCATAACGAATATAAATTCTATACTTTTAAATTTTAATTTATAGTAGCATTTGAAAAATTTACACCCTATAACTAACTTATATACTATATTCATCATAAATAAATACACTTTAAAATAATTATAATTCCTAGATACACTTTGGGTTTTTAGCAAATACCCTCTTTAAGGGGATTTCTAACCCTATCTTGAATACGACCCTCGTCTATCTTCCCAGAGATTTCACTCCTCTCCAACTTTGTTGACTTTGAGTCCGTCATGACCTGGGCGTTGTCGCCGACTATTCCCCCATTTTTACTTCCTCTAAACAATCGATTCATATCCTCGATCCGTATGAATCTGTGTGAAGTAAATAGGACATCAGATAGACCACAATGGAGAACACGAACTTTCCGCTATCAATGGTCTCCTTGACGGTGCTTCCGGTAATGGCAGGGACAAACTTTCATTACTTAAGCAAACGTGATGGAGATCTTGAAGAAGCTTAGAAGAATAGATCTGTTGTTCGATTTGAGTTCCCCACCTCGATTGGTCAAAAGGAATAATTTTTTGATACAAAATTCAGAATGATTCTCACGAATTTTACTTGTGTTGATAGACTGCAGAAAAAAAAGGCCGGATACAGTGTATACAGTCATTCTCAAATCTAGCCAGAGTTTAGAATGTTAAATACAATGTATGCAGGTATTCTCAGATCTGGGCGATCAAATCTGGTTGAAGTTTCGAATGGTAAATATAGTGTAACGACCCGACCGGTCGTTTTGAGTACTAGCGCTCCGTTCAGCAGTCGGAGGCCATGAACAACTTCATTTCGGGTATTATGACTTGTACGCGTGGTCGGAATTTGATTTCGGGAAGTTCGGAGTAGATTTGGGAAGAGAATTCTCATTTCGGAAGCTTAAAGTTGAAAGAATGAACTAGGATTGGAATTTTGAGTAAACGACCTCGGAATCGGGATCTGAAGGTTCCAGCAGGTTCGTATGATGATTTCGGACTTGGGC